TCTTGTCGACCATCCTCGATGAGGAATCAGCAGAAGTGTATGAGTTTATGCTAGAAAAGTTGGATCTCCTTATCCGAGCTTTGTCGCTGGGCGCTCGAGACTTGGGGGATGCTGTGAACTTTTGTGTTCACGACGCTCATCAAGGGGCACTCGCGGCATGCAGAGAGAAACTCCCTGGCGTCAGGAACGGTGATAGGGCTCGTTATATACATACAGAACTGAAGTCATTCGTTAGGGCGTTGCTACTATCATTTGTCGAAGAACATCAAGGATAACGCGTCCAAATTAGCAGATGCATTACCGCTTGTAATGATTGAAAGTCAACGTCTCCAGAACATCGTAATGGAGTAACCCGATTTTCATTCTCGAGCGTTCAGGTAGAGAGATACAAGTTTTGGCTACACGCTAGTCCCACAGATGAATTATATAATACGCTGTCGAAAGCTTTGATCTCGTCTGTCGAGACGCTGAGCCACAGAGGAGCTGTGTATCTTCGTAATACCCTGGACGTGGAGAAATATGGATATCCTAACATCTCGTTGGATGGTGGAGGTCTCCGTGGCACACAGGTAAGCCGATCCCACTTTAGTTAAACCGATTCTGCTTTCGTAGTGATCCGACTCGTAACTGATCGAATTTGCTCCTCAACTAGGTTTTGAATAATATTGTGGAGACTTTCAACAAAACTATGACAAAGATTGTTGGAAGGAAGCGCCTTCGTATCTCACAATTTGCAGCACGGATAAGGGATGTAATATAAATCCCCCGTTCACTGAAGGGCATCCATAACGTCCGAAGTTCAAGAGAATCTCAAATTCAGTCCTACAGGTGATCAACTCCATCAAACGTTCAAACCCTCAGCATTTTGTCCGCCGTCCGATGACTATCAACGACGTAGCTTATAGTCATCATGCGAAACTGCTCGGCACAAAGCTGTGCAACAGGAACTGTGTCCATGACGTAAGTGAGAAACTTCATTGGAATTGTTCAATACCTGGCCGTGAATCAACTATCGAATCTCAGGTTACTGATGCCGTCGAAAGACTCCGAGGCGAGAGGCCCATGACAGAATGTTTCGTAGTCGAATATCATCGATTGGAGCAGAGACTGCGTTCCACTACGATGAACAACGCTATTGAGGTTTATCTTCGTACAATACTTCTCGATGACATAGAACAAGGTAAGACATTTTTTCACAAGGCTAACCACTTTCGAAGAACGTCTCTAATAGTCATCCTCACTATACTCGAAAGCTGCTTCCTCAGAGCTCCCATTGGAAGAAGTTATGAGTAGATATTATTGCTTCTATCTTGTTACCTTCACAAAAGATGAGGATGATTCGCGCAGGGTCATCGTGGACGATAATCAATCCACAATAGTTTGCAACTGTAAAGAGAGCAGGGATTGGGCCTCCTGTGCACACGGTTATGCTGTAGAAGTCTTGATGGGAACGATGCCGAGGTAAGATTGCGCTCACCGAGCTTCGTGTAGCATGTGTTGCAATGATGAACTCTCGAACCATGATATAGATATATTCCAGAACAACGGAGGCTACCTGGAGTCCGACGCGGTCGGCCGACTGAGAGACGAGTTCCACCTCTCGGGAGGTATAATTCAGCTATTTCAGCTCCGGGTATGCTGAACTTCCATAGAGCCCAATCTGGTATTCTATAGGATCACATTTTAGAGTCCCCGAACGATGCCGGGAGGGATGAGGGAAATGATAACTACTCAGACCATTTACGTACATGTTACTGATTGATTCCTCCTGTATGATATCCTTTCATTCATAGTTCTATCCGAAACCGATATGAGCAGTAGACAAGGATCCAACCCTGATTCGTCACCCGGCTTCTCCTCGTCCGATGCTGAATCACTCTCGTTCGATGGCCGCCGTTGTGAGAGCGTCCAGAGTAATTACGTGAGTTTTTTCTGTCTTTGAAGATGAAGCATATCCCCATATAGCCCGAATATTTAATCCAACCGTTTGTAGCATATCAGATTCCAACTCTGAAGGAGACTAAGACGACCCTGACAGTACGACATGGATTCGAGAGTCTAGACCGCTCCAACTCGAGCGTTCTGTTTCATCCATTTCGGAACTCGATGACGTAGACAGCACCACATGGTGCCGGAGCGCTCCGCTTCATTTGACCGACCAAATGTGCGAGGATGTCGGATCGGAATCTGAAAGCGCCGAGAGCAGCACCTGGGTTCGTCATTCGAGGGAAGACGGCAAGCCACTGTGAGATTCTCATATGGATGTACAGTAGTACATCAGTCATGTCATCTGCATAATTGTCATAATATGACAGTCATATTCTGAGTGTGTGGAATTGTGTATATATTGTTTATCTCCTCAATAGAATTGAACGATTGTAAATAAAGCGATTCAGTTGTGTTGCAAATCGCTTTGCGTTGTATAAACACACAATATGAGTCTCTATTGCGGGGGACTAGTTGGCTCAGATTTCAGCTCCAAATATGAGCATGGATTCTATCACAAGGTCCACTTTATTTCTACAAGCTCGCTCCGCTCGCTCGCTTGGATTACTGTGTCCCTGTTATGCAACCATTTCACTATATCTTGGATTTACGGATCTAGCTTGGACTATGGGTAATTGCTTGGACCATGGGCATATGCTTGGATTTTGGTGGTCAACCCATTTGGTCTGCAGGATAATGCGTAACAATACTACCCCAAGCGAGTATTGTTACTCTAAGTAACAAATGTAATTTCAAGCGTGAAGGGCTAATCCTAAGCAGCATTGTCAAAGACAAGCATGTTTAGCTATTACAAGCATATGTGGTATTTCAAGCAAGGTTTCGGCGCTTGTTAAAGCAAGCGTTCCAAGGCAAGCGAGCGGAGCGAGCTTGCGAGAAAAAATATTGTTGGGTGCTCCGTCAATGTTTCGGCGCTGATCTACTATCACATACGGGCCACATGACGTATCTGGGATAGAGGTCGGTAAACCTGATCGCATTGGCCTTGTCGTTCATGATATAAAATATCGATTATAAATAGGGGACACTGACTTTAAGGGAAGTTTCCGCGATAATGAATTCCATGCTGAATTATATCTTGTATCATCCTTCATAATCTGGGTCTGTAGCGGACCAATGCTCCATTGTACGTTCGCTGATCAGTTGAGTAACCCATTCTATGAATCACGTATCCCTGTCACTGTATCTTGTTCATACACAACCCACGGAGGACTCTCGGTCGCTGAATCGTTAGCACTGGGAGTACTATAACAGTACTGAGTGGACTCTACTCTGAGACGTTCACGGTTGTGGGCGCGCGCTGCGGACTGCGCAATTTTTCGCAGATACTTCTTAGGAGGATGCTCACGGTCTTCTGTAGCAAGTGACTCATAACCTCATAACGTCATAATTCACAGTCTATTACGAACGTTTTGTCTCCTTTAGCTCGTCCCTTTTGCTACGAACATGACCTGAGTCCCTCAGACTGAGAGTCATTTTGAGGTTGTTGCACGTGATCCACGATTTACGTTTTCCGTTATTGAAGGACTTTGCGTAGTAGTGTTTACTCTGTCAAATATCGATAGAACAACCCGTTGCCAAGAAGCATATGCTATCAGTCTGCATTTCGGTCCATGCTTAATGGCAATAGCTCCGCCAAAGGATGGAGGAATTTCCTCCGAGGAACCACCGATTTACACGGAGCGGTGATTAGTCATGTTCAGAGCAGAGTCGGCCGAGTCTGATGACATGGATGATGAGGTAGTTTGATGACGAGGAAGTGGGGTGAAGCATATCATTCAGTGTTATACCAATGTACGCCTTGAGTGTACCTTATATTGGAATTTCCTCGTGTCATATTAGTGTACGCCTTGAGTGTACCTTATATTATATTAGTGTACACCTTGAGTGTACCTCATATTGGAATTTCCCCGTGTCATATTAGTGTACACCTTGAGTGTACCTCATATTATATTAGTGTACACCTTGAGTGTACCTCATATTAGAATTTTCCCTGTTATACCAGTGTACACCTTGAGTGTACCTCATATTAGAATTTTCACTGTTATACCAGTGTACACCTTGAGTGTACCTCATATTAGAATTTTCCCTGTTATACCAGTGTACACCTTGAGTGTACCTCATATTATATTAGTGTACACCTTGAGTGTACCTCATATTAGAATTTTCACTGTTTTACTAGTGTACACCTTGAGTGTACCTCATATTGGAATTTCCCCGTGTCATATTAGTGTACACCTTGAGTGTACCTCATATTATATTAGTGTACACCTTGAGTGTACCTCATATTAGAATTTTCCCTGTTATACCAGTGTACACCTTGAGTGTACCTCATATTATATTAGTGTACACCTTGAGTGTACCTCATATTGGAGTTTTTACTGTTATACCAGTGTATACCTTGAGTGTACCTCATATTATATTAGTGTACACCTTGAGTGTACCTCATATTAGAATTTTCCCTGTTATACCAGTGTACACCTTGAGTGTACCTCATATTATATTAGTGTACACCTTGAGTGTACCTCATATAAGGAATAACCGTGGTCTAGATATTATTTGCGTGCACTACGTGGTATTTTGTGGCCTCTTTCCGTTAATTTTCATTAACATGGAAGCTTCTTGGTCGCCTTACGCGACTCGTTCAGACAGTCGCGGAGATAGGAGAAGAGCGGTAGTTGCCAGAGAGGTACGTGCTTTGAGACGCGCTGTTCGGATTTCCTTCCTCTGGTAATTGGCTCAGAAGCAACGTCTGCTGTCTGAGAATAGTTCATTGCGGACGCGAGTACAAATGCTGGAGGATAGCGCGGTAACATTTCAGTGTCGTTGCTGAACAATTAAGCGTCAGGCAAAAATGAAGAGAGAGTTACGTCATAGTAGCACAAGCGTGAGTCTCGATCATCCTCCACGTGCGCTCCTTACTGTAACGATAGGTTCCAGTTAGCGCTCTGTCTGACAAAAATACAGAAAGCTCAGAACATGCCCTGCGGAATCTAATGGCAGAAAAGGTAAAATCGAATCGAGCATGTTCAGTTTTTATGGAGCTGATTGATGCTTTCTTTCTCAGGCTGAAGTTGAGAAGAAGGCAGTAGATTCAGAACAGGCTTTACTGAGGCTGAAGGCGGAGAAGGTAAAAAGGAATCGAGAATGTTCAGTTTTTATGTACCTGATTGATGCTTTCCTCCTCAGGCTGAAGTTGAAAAGAAGGCAGTAGATGCAGAACAGGCTTTACTGAGGCTGAAGGCAGAAAAGGTAAAACCGACTGTGGGTGTGATACTCCTCACTAGCTAGCTGATCATAAACTGTTGTTGTGTCTTTATACTGCAGGGTGAAGTTGAAAGGAGAGCTGAGGAGTCGGAACAAGCATTGGAGAGATTGCAGGCGGAGAAGATCCAAGCCGTTAAGGATGTCGAGGTAACTACGCTATTCCGTTGATCACTCGGGAGTTTTCCTTGCCTCAGACTAAACTATTAGAAGCTAATGTTCAGCATGCGGACTCCCTAATCGCGCTACAGCGAAGATATGAAGAGCAGACTCGTGACGCAGTAAGAACGTTCGCACGATATCATGCGGTAACAGAAGATTCTACTCTGCAGTAACAGCTGCTGATTCTGGTAGTGGACACTAGCTATGATCATCTCATGCAATTACTTCCTCGACCTTCAGAAGACTCAGAGAGCCGATATGGCGACGCTCGCGGACCTGTCTTAGACGAAGACAGCGAATCTGGTATTCAGAGTTACGCGCGACATACGGATCATTTTTCCCTCAGTAAGAAGTCTTACGGAGAGTAGCTCAGATGGAGATTCCGAGACCATGAGCGTCAGCGCCACCGCAGAATCTGGTGACTCCGGGGATGGTAATGCGGGTACTCGCCTACACTGGTGACTATCATGCAGGCCTGGAGATAATTCGCGGATTGTCAGGACCCTATCGGACCCTTATCATCGGTCCATGACTAGTAGCAATCGGACAAATGTCAGATTCAGCGAGTGAGGAGTCTGATGAGGGGAGTTCTGCACTTTACGAACGTCATAGTATTGTCCTATCGACCTCCAGTCCTACGAATCGAGGTGGGTTAGACAGTAGACACTTGGGATCTGCTGTAGTGTATTGTTCAGATGTTAACAACAGTGCAGAAAACGTGAGTCCCCAGTCAGCGAACAACAGCATGACAGATAGCTCAGCTCTGTATATGCCTCGCGCTCCTTCGATGGAAAACGGATCAAGGAGCTCCGCAACGGGTGATTCACGGGACCATCAGCTAGGGGAGTCCGCGTATCGGATTCAATCGAGCTTCGGTACAAGTGATATTATACGATTTCTTCAGGGAGTTCCGAACTATATGTGAAGCACTAACGCGTGAGTTAAGTTGTGTATGGAACATTTTCTCGTATAAAATGAGTGATCAATGAGTAGTGAATTGCGGAATAATTGGAATTGGCCTATCTCACCGGTTATTTTAGGGGATATTCGTCAGGTAGAAAAGAAGAAGGTACTCAGGAGGATAGCACGTAGGCTTTTCGAAAGTTACAACAACTATGTTCTGGATGATGGGTATTCCGTGATAAGTTATCACTGATAACCGCTCAGACTCAACGCCTGTTACATACTTATCATCACGGTAAACGGCGAAAAATTTTCAGAGCACTATTTACGATATGAAAACAGAAAGCATGTAATATCGATGAGAAGTCGTCATTGACAACTTATTCGAGTTAACAGGACACTTGCACTTGCCATTGTAAGAGCGAACAGTATGTTACGTGTATAAGATTAATTAGGATCAGTAACGTCTGTAATGTAGATGCATATAAACTCTATATTGTTGCCAGCAACATAACCTTCCCAGCGCGATCCCGGGATCATCCGTAGATTTCAATCATGTATCAACAATCAGTGACTTAATATAAGTCACGTACAGTATGAAATATGACGAGTGTCGTAAAGTTTCATCTCTTACGTTACGATAGCTATTTCACTCGAGATTTCACTTATTTCACTTGGTGAGACCGTTCTCACTAAAACTGAACTCAATTCTTTGAATTGGTAAACTCACTATTACTTTCTATAGCTCATCACTACAGGAACTCCACTCTGTAATCACCTTTGACTAAATTCTCATGATGGTCCTCCATTGATGGAACATGTTTTTGAGACCTGTAGAATGTTGAGTTTGGCTAAGTCTTTAATAGGGTGTTGATGATTGGCAGTCATCGATTGTGTACGAGTCGACAGTATCGTACAGTACGACGATACTGAAGAATGAAAACGCGCAATTTCGTCGTTGGAGGTGAAGTAGTTGAAAGCGACATTACATCGCAGTCGTCCACTCACTTTGCTGTTTATCTGATCCATGGGCAGTCCCAAGCTTATTATGAATGAGATAATCTCTGCTTGAGTTATAAGCAGAACGTGCTTACTTTACGCCTTAGCGCTTGGCCTAGGAGCTGAAGCTTAGATCAGCGCAGCGTGCTTGATATAACGGACACTGCTTAGCCTTACAGGCTGCGCTTGAATTAGACCAATTACGCCAGGATAATACGCGGCCGTTCTGATATGATGAATTGTCATCGACAAACATAATACATGTGCACGGGGCGCTTGCAATCGCACATCGACTCCCACCAGTGTTTAAGCGCACTCCTATTTGCGGACTGGAGAGAATTGACTTGAAGGTGAACACAACAGCGTAATCACGTTTCGAAAGAATCGTTGTTCTGCAAGCCATAGGCAGCGTACTTGACTTCGAACCGACCTCAGAATTGTTTTGTTGGACAGACTACTTGACTCAAATAAGCTGACGACCAAAAGCGGTGCTCATGCGTTAAGTTAACTTCCTCGAACGAGCAATCTCAAGAAAAAAATGGTTTTCATCCAGCTCAATGTTCAGTGAGGTCAGCAGGGAAACAACCAGGCGTGTGTTTCGTGCCGGTAAGGCGCCTTTATGATGCAGAAACATCAGATACTGGATCAAGGATAGAAGAGCTAGCACGCCCGCAGAGAAGAACGGTAAGGTGGTGGCTCTTGAATGAACAGAGTCAAGACAACAGAAATGAAGCATATATAGGTTACACTATATCTTACTCAACAGGATGTCTTGTCAACAAGCACAATCCACGTCGGTCGGGGTTAGACCGAATGGACCGCATCCGCACTTCCCAGTTTCCCAGTTACAGCGGAATCCACCAGTGATTGCGAATTGGATGCAGGCGTTTGGTCCACAGGATGCGGCAGACACGTGGCCTAGGGATAGGAGAGCTACCACGGCGGCACGAAAGAACATCGAGGATGGTGAAATAACTGACGTCACAGTTCGAAGTTCGATCCAACACCGAATGCGGGACTTTTCGGCTCAAGGTTCGAGCCTCTCCGATGGCACTGGGCCAGTGCTTGTTCAAAGGTACCGTGCTTGCTCGTCAACAGGACTAAGTGTTAGAAGATGATAGTTACGGAGCGAGCGGAACTATATATTGCAATTGATCCAATGGTTCAATATATGGTTCAATTGAATTGAGCTTCAATTATTGAAGTTGAACATGCGTACGACCTGTTTGTTCACATCCAGGAAAAGTCTGAACACGTGAAAGAATCAGTCGAAAGCTGAATGGGTAGGTATTGTAGCATCGGTCAGCTCGAAACTGAGAATGACTGGTATTAACCGGAATGATCCTCACTTCTCCACCTCTTGAAGGAAGGGTCTCGAATACAGTGAGAGAATTAAGCACCAGAAGACAGTATTCTTACTCAAAAACAGGATCCCAAGACCCTCACAATGATTGTGAGGATCTTAGGATCCTGGTTTTTTACGTGCGCAACTCCACGAAAGTGATAGTCGGCCTGTTCCATAGATCAATTCTTAGTTTCAAGATCATTTCCAGAATCGCATAGGGAAGAGTTTATTGAACGTCCGGTTGGAACGTGCGCTCGGCGCATTGCGCAGAGCCTGAGTAATGCACCGAGCGTACGTTGAAACCGAATCATTCGATGATTAGACAGAGCTTCATTGCTGCTGTAATGTTGTTCGCGCACGTATGGACGAATATCGCTCGCCCATTATTCGTTGCATGAAACGGCTCGCAGGCTTCAGGCTGAAATGGATAAGATAAGAAGCCTTACTACCTATTATGGCTGTCCCAAGTGTTGTTGAGTCAACCAGTGCGGGTGTTACTACTAACAAATGTTTTCCTATTTCATGTCATCCTTCCGATAACTCTATGTTGTGCGCGCATTGCACGCTACTATGTATATGCGTGCACAGTTGCGCTGCGTACAGTTCGTTCATTGGGTTGGTTGAATCGTCTTTTTCCGCTTAATGTCTGCTCACGATTCGAGTCATCAGTCACAGGATGGAGACGATACGAGGCATGCAGTACGCATTGCGGCAGGGCACGTCTCCGGAAAGGCTTCAGCAGCGTGAGAGTTCCTCTTCATACTATTGGCACTATGCTGCCGCATCCAACGCAATACTCACCCGCGCACATCTAATTGCTTTCTTAACAGGGCACGATATAATAGCAGCGCACGGAGCTTTCTCACCCACTCAGTGGGTGGGAAAGATTTTCACAGTGGGTCCCACTGTGAAAATCAAATGCAGTAGAGCGATGCTACGACCATACGCACTCTTATGTCCTCAGTATAATCTCACCGCTCCCACCGCGAACTGAATAGACCATACAGATGAGCCCCTCGGGAATCCCGAGTCGGGATGCACTGCGACTTCATAGAGACCGCGTACTGAAAAGGCAGTAAGTTTGTGACAACTGTGACACACGTTAGCTCTAAAGTAGAATATATGTAGAGAGCAGGAGCCTTCAGGATGGCTGGAGTCGACGACCAGAATCGTTTCGGGAGTAATCAGCCTGATATCTCGGATGTAGATGCATCCATGGGGGATTGAACTGACGATCTCCCGGTAGGGAGCGGATTGAGCTGGGTCGTTCAGGCTCAACGCTACGCGGATGACTCCACCAGCATAGACGTATGCGAAAGTATAGTGTCCTCCCTGGCCAGGAACTTGACTCACAATGAAATCTCCGAGCCGACTTCCATAAAATTGACAACCTTATGTCCGAAGTAGTCGTGCCTCGGTGTGTTTTGCAGTGTTCCTCAAGTCGACACAGCGCAGCGCAGTGGTGCGTTCAGTATTGACATAGGCGAGAAAGACAAGTCCATCGAGACAGCGGAACTTACTGCTCATTACATATTCATCGTAAGGGCCAACATAGACCTCCTGACAGAACTCGGGATTGTCAAGCTTGTAAACGAATACTCTGTGATACTCGCAGTCGGAGGCATGCACTCTGTCGTTGACGTCGTCATAGTCGTAGCAAGCCCTATAGCCGTTTCTGATGGGTTCAATCGATGTCGCTTCAGATCTGTCGATGCAGCGGGGTCTGGCCACCCTCCTCAAGGATTCATTTACGACCCACAGGCAGTCATTCCGATTGAATATCAGTAATGGCAGTTGCTCCGCTCTCGGATGTGGACAAACACGTTCGACCAAACCTTGTTCTCGCATGTCGAAGAGTTGGGCTACATCGTATTGGAGCTCCGGCAGCATACCATGACAATTTCGTGAGCACCATAGTTGGCTGAGCACAGCTGAGTCTCGGGCTCGGGCATGATAACAGTCCATTAAAACGACTAAGCGGGGCGCTCAATGAAAGGGAGAAGAATGAAGGAAAGCTGTCATAGCCAACAGCTAGAAT